TATTTCTCTGAGTCTGAAGGATAGTAAGGACTCCTGTTGGAACAGGACTTTAATGACTTGAGACTGACTGCTTCTGGACAAGCTAGATCCTGTCCCTTTCTTACTGAACCTACATAAGCAGTCCATATTTATACTACAGATAAGATTTTATTATCATATTGTCTTCACAGATGAGTGTTCCTAATAATCTAATTATTATAATAGGAGTGGTTCAGGGTGGTGCCTGTAGCTCTAAGGAGTAGGGCGCCGGCCCCATGTACCGGAGGTGGTGGGTTCAAACCCAGCCCTGGCCAAAAACTGCAAAAAAAAAAAAAAGAGTGGTTTGGGGGAGGTGCACACCTGTAAATCCTAGCACTTTGGGAGGCTGAGGTGGGAGGATTGCTTGAGCTCAGGAGTTTGAGCACAGCCTGAGCAAGAGTGAGACCCCCATTCCTACAAAAAAATAGAAAAAAAAATTAGCTAGACATGGTGGAATGCACCTATAGTTTCTCTCAGCCCTCCGCCTGCAACTCAGTAAAAAGAGTATGATTTGAGAGCAAATATTCTCAAACCCCAATCAGAGTTTTAGGTTTTAGGTTGGCATCTTCTCACAGTTATTATACCTGAGGCATATGTTGCAAATTTTTGTAAAAAAAAAATCTTAAAACGTGGAAAAGATTTAACATAGAGGCAAGAATAACCCAAGTTGGGATATTGGACATTTAGTATTTTATTATACTTAATTATGTAAAAACTCAATCCTTTAATTGCAATTATAGGAAATTAAGGTAGTACCTTTACACAGAGACCTTTGGGGATTTGCCTTTTTGTTGTCACGTTTTATCCTATGGTGTAATGATTCTGTCACCTAACATCTATTGAGGGAAGTTATCTGGGATTTGCTTGGGCTATTTCATGCTCACAGGAAATTAAAGGGATGGGATCTGTTTTCATCCTTATATAAATTCTTTTAAGTAGTAGGGATACATATATGAATTTTTTTATTGCCAGTAGGAGGAGAGGGAATTGCTTAGAGGCTTTGTATATCAATTTAGGTTTGACTACTTTCCTTTTAAATTATTTTGAAATAATTATAGATTCATAGGAATTGCAAAAAAAAAAAAAAAAAAAATTGTACAGGGAGGTCCCGTGCCTTCATTTGTGTGTGTGGTTCTGTGCAGTTTTATCACAGCTTCCTGTAATCATCCCTGCAATCAAGATACTGAACTGTTCATTGTCACAGGGCTCCCTTGTGCTACCCCTTTACAGCCACAACTCCCCCCTCCCTGCCCACCACTAATTGGTTCTCCCTTGTTATAACTGTTATTCAAAGAATGTTGTATAATTGGAATCATACGGTGTGTGTAATTTTGAGACTGGTGTTTTTATTTTACTTTGCGTAATTCTCTGGAGATTTATTCAGGTCATTTTGTTTGTCCGGTTTGTTTCCTTTTATTGCTAATATTTTATGGTATGGTCGTACCATAGTTTAGCCATTGATGGACATATGGGTTGTTTCTGGTTTGGGGCCATCATGAATAAAATTGTTATAAACATTCATATACTAGTTTTGACACAAACATAGTTTTCATTTTTCTGGGATAAATGTGGGAGCGCAGTTGCTGGGTCATGTGATACATGCATGTTTAATTTTTTAAGACATTGCTAAACAGCCAAAGTGCCTATGCCGTTGATTTGTTTTTAGTGAAAATGTTTTGTTAATTTTGGTAGCAGTCTTGTTGCTGTCTGGCCGAAGCGGGTGAGATGGCCTTTAGCCGTTGACTTGGGTCATTAGTCATTTTGATAGCTTTGGCACTCAGAAGGAAATTCCCTCAGCTTCCACAAAACCCACTGCCTGAGTGAACCACTCTCTTCAGTCTCTTTTCCCATTTCTGTCTAGTCTGCAGTCGTTCATTCTACCAGCTGAGCTATCAAAGGTACACATCTTTCCTCCTGTTTCTTAGAGAAGAGTTAGCGCCAAAACCTGAGCCCTCAATCTTACCTGTAGAGTCTTTTTTTTCTCATTAGTTTCTTGAAATTCCTTTTTCTTTGACATCCACTACTACCCTATCTGGCTAACTTTCCCAGCCACAGTTCTTGATTGGGCTATCTCTGATCCCTTACCTTGTCCTTCCTCCCCTTGTAATCTAGCTGCTGCTGCTGCTTTTTTTTTTTTGAGACAGTCTGCTGTGTCACTCTTGGTAGAGTGCAGTGGCATCATAGGTCACAGCAACCTCCAACTCTTGCGCTAAGTGATTCTCTTGCCTCAGTCTCCTGAGTACCTGGGACTACAGGTGCCCGCCACAATGCCCTGCTATTTTTAGAGGCAGGGTCTCACTATTACACAGGCTGGTCTTGAACTCCTGAGCTTTGGCAGTCCACCTGCCTTGGCCTCCCAGAGTGCTAGGATTACAGGCATGAGCCTCTGCACCAGGTCCTATAATCTAGCTTCTTTACGTGAGTGTGCTGGAATTTTTCTTGCTGATGTCACCAGTAACCTTCTCATAGCTCAGTCTAATGTAAATGTGTCAGTGCTGTTCTTACTGGACTTCTGGGTAGCATTTACCACTCTTGATCACTCTCTTTTTGTAGAAATACTTTTTCCTTTTCTGTTCCCCCTTGGATTGCTGCTCCTAGATGGTCTTTGCTGGTGTCCGCCCTGTTCTATATCCCTTAAATTTTGGGATTCCTGAGTTCTGCACAGGCCAACTTTCCTCATTCCATGTGATTTCATCCCTGCCTCCCACATCTTTCTTTATTTGCATCTCAGGGCTGCACCCCTGAGCTCCAGACCCATATATTCATTTGTCTTCTAGTTACATCTCCATCTGACTCTTTCACTGAGCCCCTCAATTACAGCACATTTAAAATGGAATTTATTCTCTCCCCAGCACCTTTGCCGTTTAAAAAGAAAAAGAAAATAATCCCGATTCTCCTTAATGAGGACCAGTATGGTAATACCATATATAGAATAGTGGGAGTGCTGTTAAAAACCCATCCGTATAGGGCGGCGCCTGTGGCTCAAAGGAGTAGGGTGCCGGCCCCATATGCTGGAGGTAGCGGGTTCAAACCCAGCCCCTGCAAAAACAGCAAAAAAAAAAAAAAAATTGCCTAATTTATATAAATGTTTTGACACAATGACCATGCAAATGACATGAAATTTATGTGAACCACCTTGATGAAAGTATTTCAAAATGTATATGAAAACACTACACTGTACCCCATGTTTCCATTAATGCATACAGCTATCATTTAATAAAAAAAAAAACCCATCCATATTTAGTTGAATTGCCTTGTTAACTGTTAACCAGAGTTAACATTCTCCTTTCACCGTAACTAAAGCATCCTGACCCCACAGCTGACATCCACAGCCTGCATGGTCAGTAGGTGCCTCTTTAGCACTCTTGCTTGTGTCCTGAGTTGAGTGGTATTGTTCCCATATTGGTTTATGCTAACTATAATTTGGTGGTCAAACATTTTAATTAAATATTACACACACTAAAATTGAATATGAAAGGAATCATTTCTATGAAAACTAAATCGAGTGCTTTGGAAAGACCCAAAGATAAGTTGCTAAAATATTTATATGCTATAGAAAGGCAACTATAAAAGGCTAGTAAAACTAGGCTGATCCTAGGAAGGTGATGCATTCTGTTTCTCAAGTGTCTAAGATCGTGCTACACTTCAAATCACATCAGTCTGCAAGTGGTAGAAGATGATGTTGATAATTATAAAGGTAGAAAACATGACGTGGAATTCCAATCACTAGACCCATGCTCAAAGAAAAGACCCAGTTCAAAAGATTGGTGAATAAATGTGCCTTTTTGTTTTATGTTAGAATAAAGTGTTTAAGGTACAAATGTCTTATCTCATGGGCAAATATGTATCATTTCCTGTGGTGCTTTATTTGTACTCACTGCATCTCTCTGTGATTAGCTCCTCTTCTTCATTCCTACTACCCTGGTCACTGTCTTTTCCCAGATTTGCTATATTAGCTTCCCACCTGGATGACTGCTCTGAATTTTGCATGATTCTTTTCCCCTCTCCACGTTGTAGCCAGCAGGAGCTACTAAAAGCATAAACCTGATCACGTCATTCCTTTACTTTACAACTCTTAAAATCCAGATTCCTTAAACGAGTTAAAGAGAACATTTAGATCTGGCCTCGGTTTACTACTTCTACTCTCACATAATTTTTATGCTGCCATTCCTTTCCCTCAAACTCTACATTACAGCCGTCTTGATTTGACCCTCTTTCACAGTTCAGTTGGGGTGCTAGGGGGAGGGGTGTGTTCTCATATGTGTGTATTGGGTGAAGGGGTGCCTTCCTGTCTCACTTCAGCCTTTCTATATTGTGCTGCTCTGCCAGAACCTCTCCTTTCACCTCATCTTTCACCTCCAAAAACTGACCACGCTGTCCTTCAGGGCTCACTTTCCTTGGGGAAGCCTTTGTTGTAGGTGTGTATTACTCGAGTTGAAGACCTCTCTTGTGTGCTTTCATAACAACACCCTGCATTTCCTCTGTTCTGGCATTTAGCACACAATAGTTTATTATTTGTTTACCTGTATTTCCTGCAAGGCAGCTAGAGTTCTGTGTAGACAGGGTTTATTAATTAATCTTGTTTGCCATAGACTCCATATTAACTGTTGAGGAGCCTAACTGGGCCTAACACCCCCTCCTGAAATAAAGAACACAAAGGAACTAGTTGGCCCCACCCCTGGAGAAATTTGTGCCAAAGGACCCTAATTCCCCAAAGCCCTCGAGGCAAGCTGTAAAACTTGCCCACCCCCTGCAGCCCCATGTAAAAGGGGTCTCTCACTGCCTCCAGGCACAGATACAATCTTTGCACTGCCCAGGAGGTCGCCCTCTCCTTTATATAAACTTGGCATGCACTTCTCTGCTCCAGTCTCCTCTCTGGTGCTGTCTCCCTCCACACTTCATTAACATTTGAGTAAACGGATGTTTTTTTGAATTCTATAGGTTTCTTTAAAAAACACTTAAATGTTTCCCTTCTTTTGTAGGTGCTGTCTCTCTTGGCCTTTGTCTGTGAAGAAGTTGTATCACAGTGTACTTTGTGTGGAGGACTTTACTTTTTCGAATTTGTAAGCTGCAGTGCCTTTCTTTTGAGTCTCCTCATGTTGATTGTGTATTTCACTCCACTTTATGAGAAAATCGATGCCACCAAAATAAAATCATCGGTAAGCATGAAAAATAGAATCTCTGTGTTAACAGAGTAGCTATTCTGTAAACTTGCATAGTTTTATTGTTCAAAGTAATAATGATGCTTTCAAAACTCAGCACACACACACAAAAAAAAAACAAAAAAAATCCATTGTTCCAATTCTCTGCCTCTCAGCAGCTCAGTTTTCCCCCTTCTCATCCCCTTGCCAAGGGAATGACGGGGAAGGTGAGATTGGAATGAGAGTGACAAGCGCTGCCAGTAATTCACCATTATTGGTGGCTCAGTTTAAGTCACATTTGATTTTTTTTTTTAAAAGCTAGGATTTTGTTACTTTTGATTTCTCACATTTCAGAGGATCATTCATTGGTTCTACAACTATTAATTGTCTGCCTTTCGTATACCAAGCATTATACTAGACACTGGAAATAAAGAAATAATCTAATATGAAATATTTCTAAATAAAGTGACAGTTCTGTGTATGTTTTGCTTTGATTATGAAAAAAGTTGTCTATAAGTAAATTATGGAATTCATTGTTCAGAAATTTTGTTATAATAAAATTGTGTTTGGGTGTATAGATGTTTAACTTTCTAAAGACTTAGTCTGCTGACCCTGTGTTTTTATTATGTATGGTTCAGATTTGTGGAGTGACAGATGCAATAATTGACACACACACACACACACACATATATATATATATTTTTTTTTGGCAGCTTTTGGCCGGGGCTGGGTTTGAATCCACCACCTCCGGCATATGGGGCTGGCACCCTACTCCTTGAGCCACAGGTGCTTGCCATATTTTTTTAAGTTAAAAAATAAAAAGTTGATGCCAAACAGTTAAAAAATAGCTTTGAAAAACAAGTGGAATCTGAGTATCTGAATCAGATTCATTAACTATTTGATGAGAACATACACACATCTGGCAGTTTGTGGGACATTTGTTATAAGCCTACTACCTTTTAGGGATTAACTCTAATCTTTAGAATCACCTTGTGATACCATTACTATCCCCATTTTGCAGATGAAGAGATGGAGGCACAGAGGTTTGAAGTAACTAGTTGAAAGTCACATCATTAGGAAGTGGTGTAGATGGGAATTAAACTCAGGTAGTCTGGCTCTACAACCTGTGTTTGTTGAGCACTGCATTATTCTGTCTCAAAAGGATTTGTCTTGTTTAAATATCTCCTTCAGTGTACTCCAAATATGAGAGGGTAGAGTTTTCTATTTGTATTAATCAAAGAAATAAAAAGTGCAGAAAGTACCACAGGCAAGCATCTCTTTTAGAAGCAAAGAGAAAACTTCTTAAATTTTTTTTAAGTGTTAAGTGAATGATTTGACGGTATAGGAATTCTGTGTTGGATAGTTTTATTGATAATAGGTTTAGTGGAGGTTGTGTTTCAGAAAATTCAAAAAGTGTCAGATTGGCTTGGTGCCCATAGTACGGTGGTTGTGGCACCGGCCACATGCACCAAAGTTGATGGGTTTATACCTGGCCCAGGCCAGCTAAACAACAATACAACTGCACCAAAAAGTGGCCGGGCGTTGTGGCGGGCACCTGTAGTCCCAGCTACTTGGGAGGTTGAGGCAAGAGAATCACTTAAGCCCAAGAGTTTGAGTTTGCTGTGAGCTGTGACATCACGGCACTCTACCCAGGGTGACATATTGAGACTCTGCAGAAAAAAAAAAAGTGTCAGATTTAAAATAACACTTTGAAGTGGCTATCATTTTGCCAGTTTCCCCTCTGTATCAAGGGTGTATGTTAGTGACTGTTTTCAGTTAGCATGTGATAGCCTTATGAGGTAATGCCCATGAGAGTACTTGGAAACCCATGGAGCATCTCAGGGTTGTAAGCTGCATTGTAATGAGATGTGGAAGCTCTTATGTAGTGGATAAGCTCATCATACAAGCTCATTTTAGATTACCCACTTGTAACACTCCAAGCCAGCATATTATTTCAGGCGCTTAAGTGTCTGAAAAACACTACTGGCATACTTGTATTTAGTTAATGATGGGTCATTTTTTTGGTTCACTCTTTTCCAAACTGCTTTCAGAGCATCAAAGTACTCTCAGAGATGCCATCCTAGCATAGAATACTTTGGAAGGAAAGTAAAATTTTTTTTTTTTTTGCTGAAAGTAAGATGGAACTGTAATAAATGTTTTGGCTTTGATAATTTTAGTATGCCCTAGAGAAAAAAAGGACACAAATACATTACCTTTTGGAGGGCTATTTTTATTAAGAGATTATTTTGTAATGTACTCTCTCAACATACCCAGCCCAAAAGTAGAGATAGTCTTTCTTTTTTTTTTTTTT